TATATAATATATATATATATATTATACATATACATAACATATATATAGGAAAAATCATATATATATATATGTTATGTATATGTATTATACATATATATATGTTATGTATATGTATAATATATATATATATATTATATATATGTATATATATTAAAGATGTCAAGATGAATGATTGACAGATTTTAAATGTTTTAATTTACCACAAAAATACAAAAGAAAATTGATTTGATTTTACAAACAGATTAATGTGGACACAAAGTCCTCGTCTTTAATTCAGATGAATCAAATTAATTTTATGTCTGAAAGACAAACAATATTATTTTCATTATTATCATCTTTTCAAATATGAACTCATCAGATGAAGCTGCAGGTCATCGTGCAGCTCCTGGAACATCTGGACCTGAAGGTGTCCACCTTCATCTATGTAGTGGCTTTAAACATCTGCTCTGTAGAAACATGAAAGTTCTTGTTTTTCATGTTTCACCCTGATTTATTGTTTTAGACTCTACTTTTACTTGAACTGCCTTGGGACAGTTTTCTTGTCACTGTGTGTAGCTCATGTTGTTTGTTTGAAGCAGGTCTCTCTCCATGAGTCCTCGAGGCTCAGTGACACTAAGCTGCACAAATAAAGCTTGAACGAAAAAGAACACTATATTTATTTATTTGTGTGTATGTAGTTAATTATTTAGTAAATTATTTAATGTAATCATTGTTATTTATATATTGCTGTTTCTATGGGGTGAATTTTTCTTTTCGAACGTTTACGGAGAAACTTAAAAACATTTTAATAAATCAATAATAAATAAGTGAAAATGTTAAAACATTCGGTTTTGTGTTCAACTAAATTAAAGTCTGTAATAAAATATGTCTGACAGAATGTAAATAAAACATTGAAATGTAAAAATCCTCATGAGCCCCCCCCACCCCCCACCCCCCCGAACCCACCTGCAGCTCGTCCAGGCCGTGGTGGCCCAGGTGCATCCCCAGGGCCCCCTCCCCCAGGGCCGCGGCCCCCTCCCCCAGGCCGTGCAGGAGCCGCGGGACGGCCGGGTAGTCCCGCCGGGGGTCCAGGCTCAGAGCCCGGTGGGCTGGGGCCAGCAACCCCCCCTCCTCCGAGCGCGCCCTCTGCGCGTGCCACGCGGCCTGCTGGTGCTGGTGCATGGGGCCGATGGGGGGGTAGGGCTCCGACAGGTGCGCGTAGGCCGGGTCCTGGTTCTGGGAGTACGGCAGGGAGGACTGCGGGTAGGGCGGCGGGAAGTACGGAGGCTGGAAGTCCGATGCCGGCGCGTGGCAGAGCGGTGGCGCGGAGGAGAAGGAGGCCTGGTTCAGGGAGGACAGCTGGGCCAGGCGGGCCGAGCCCGGAGAAGAACCGCCGAGGCCGTCCGCGCGCTCCTGGACACAAGGAACCGGGTCAGAACCAGGTCTGTGGACCCGTTACACGGAAAAACTATAAAACTTCAAAAGATCAAACGTTCCCGCGGCGGGAAACTGAAAGCCGCGGGTCAAAGGTCAGCCCGCGGCCCGGTTCTGGGTCGGTCGGGTCGATGCTGTGGATGTGCGCTGAACCGAACCAGACCACAGGAAGCGGGTCAAATAGAGTCCAGGCCGCCCGGACCCGGATCCGAGACAGAAATGTTTTTCCTCCGAAGGTCCAGAACCAACACCACCGAACCGAACCGAACCGCAGGATGCAGCCAGGGGCTTCTCAGCATCAGGACCAGAACCAGCTGACCCGCAACCTCTAACGGGGACCCGGCGCCTCCGAGCTGAGGTTCGGGTCCAGTCTGGCTCCATCAGAACTGAGGTTCGGGTCCAGTCTGGCTCCATCAGAACTGAGGTTCGGGTCCAGTCTGGCTCCATCAGAACTGAGGTTCGGGTCCAGTCTGGCTCCATCAGAACTTCAGGGTTATAAAATCACTTAGCTGAATTCAGGATCCGGTTCCGAACCGTGTTGGTTCCGGAACTTTTTCCTCCTCAACTTTCAGACAAAGACGGTTCCGGTTCGGACTCACCATGGCCGAGTAGGTATGGATCAACATCTGGGCCGCTCCCGAACCGGGCGTGTCGAAGTGGACGCGCAGGTGAGTCCAGGTGAGTTCCGCTCAGCGCGCCATCTACAGAACCTCTGGTTCGGAAACACGCGCGCGCCCCTCACGCAGCGCCCACTTATAGGCTGCACGCGCACCCGGCGCGTGAGGGAGGGGTCTGCCTGCGGGTCTTAAAGAGGTACCGTAAAGGTTCGGTTCTGCAGCTCTAACCGAACCTCCAGCTGGACCCGTTCAGAACCCGGAACAGAACCCCCGGTTCGGGGCTGGGTTCACCTGCGCGGCCTCGGTTCTGGTTCAGGACTTCCACAACAGGCCGGGTCCAGGTCTGCTCCGGGTCCGGTTCAGAGGAGGCTGGACCGGCGGTTCTGACGGGTCCAAACAGACCCGGAACCACAGGGGGTGCGTCTGTAAATCTGAGAGGAACTCAAAGGTTCCGACCCAACTGAGCAGAACCGAGAGGTCCAAACAGCTCCGGGCCACAAAGGTTCCGACAGAACTTCAAACAGAAAAAAAAGATTTGATGAAAGAAACAGAATCTACTAAAACCAAGAACCGGTCCAGAACCTTTGCTGTCCAGAACCTTCATCATTCTGATGAAACCAGAACTCAAACCTTTCATGTTTTACAAAGTTCTGTTTGGGTCAGACAGCCCGACCAGAACCATGTGGACCCATGAGTCTGCGGGTCACACTTCAGGGTCTCAGACTGGTCCAGTTCTTGTGGTCCAGGTTCGGTTTCTGAAGTTTGAAGATTTTAATGTTTTTTTTTTCTCATAAAAACTTTTTCTTTCAGTCCGAAAATGAACAAAGAACTGAATCCTGACCAGAACCGGGTCAGAACCTGCTGGTTCGGGTGTGGTTCCGACGAAAGCTGGAGGGAGAGGAGCTCATGGAGGTCCGACAGCGCCTCCCTGTGGAGACCAGAACCAGGTCCGGTCCGGACCCGCGCTCCTTCGGGTTCTGGATTCTGGGACATCAAAGCGGACTCAGCAGGTCTCATGTCCAACAGAACTTATTGGATCAGAACCAAAAAGTTCTTTGATCAAAGTTCAAACTTTTTCTGAGTCAAACTAAAAAACAGATTCTGTCAAAATATTTTATTTTATTCTTTAAATCTTCCAAAAATCAGCCTGGAGCCGACCCGGTTCTGACCATGACCAGAACCAGTTTTGACCGTCAACAGTCAGACCCAGGTCCAGTCACGGTCAGAACCGGTTGCGGTTGGTTCCCTGTGTTCCCAGGTGAAGGCTGCTCCTCCAGCGCCTCCTTCAGGCGGGTCATTCTGCTCAGCGCTCCTTCGTGGCTCCTCCTCAGCGCCTCCCGGACCTCCTGCTTACAGACGGAGCTCTGCTCCACCACGGCACACAGAACCTGCTCCAGAACCTCCTGGGTGTTGGGGTCCGGCAGAGCGGTGCAGTGGCACAGCGTGCAGACGGTGTGAGCGAGCCAGCCTTCGTCTCTGATCGGACCGACGATCCACGGCTGAACCCGGACCAGGTCTCCCAGAACCTGCAGGCCCAGACGCCAGAGTTCTGCTGCCTCGACCCAGTCCTGCTGCCAGCTGGCCTTCACCTGAACCGGGCCGGGACCGGACCGCAGGGCACCGCCCAGGAACCGCAGAGCCGCAGAGTAGAACCGCCTCCGGGCCGCTTCCACCGAGCCTGAAGAGGGTCAAAGGTCAAAGGTCAGGAGGTTTTCCACATGCAGATGTTCCAACATCAGACGATGAAGAACATCTGGAGGAACAAACATGAAGACCTGCCAGTAATCTGTCTGCCGCTCACACATTTATTCATAGAGCGCTTTGAAACAAACAAACAAACAAACAAACAAACAGACTGAGAGGCATCAGAAGAACAGACTGGTTTCAAACAGGAAGTGGTCAGTCTGAGGATGGAGCTGATGGTTCCAGACTCCAGCTCCTCACAACCACAAGCAGCTGCTCAGATGATGTCACAGCCCGAGGAAGAACAGCACGTTGAAGGTCGGAGCGATGCGAGGGTGTGAGGCCCTTTAAGCGCGAGGCCCTTTAGGCGAGAAGCACTTTAAGCGCGAAGCCCTTTAGGCACGAGGCCCTTTAGGTGTGAGGCCCTTTAGGCACGA